TTTAATACCACCCTAACAATTATAATCCCTTTTCTGACATTTCAACATTTCTAATCTTAACTATTAGTTTCCTTTTCTTTAATATAGGATAAATGTGCAAATGTTTTCAAAGTATAGTCAAGAAAGTTACGTAAAACATTGTATCCAATAAATATTGGTTGAATCCTGATTATCCTGTGTTCTTAGAAGAATAACTAAATCTATTTAGGAAAAAGAGTTGCCAGAAATGCTCCTTAGAAGCAAGAAGCAAGACTTTATCTCATACACTTTGGACATGTTATCAGAAAAGACTAGTCCCTGAGCAGGACATCATGCTTGGTCAAGTAGAACAGTCAGTGAAAACAAGAAAGGTTCTTAATGAGACGCAGTTTTTGAAACACCATACTTAAAGCAGAACACAGACTGGAAGGTGGCACAGGTGCAGACAGGACTTTGTTCAGTGGTACCTAGAGACTGTGGGGCCCAATACCCACTTAGCGACATCTAACAACATATAATTATCAAATACACTTCTAACTCTACTAGGATCTGAGGATGTAAAATGAGCAAGCAAGATAAAAGACGTGCTAAAGGTGGAAATTTAAATACTTCACCATAACAAAAACACAAGGAACTACTATGAAGTCAACTCCAATTCATGGCAACTACACATATTGCAAAATAGATTTGCACCAGGGAACTCCCCTTAACCGTAGTCTTTCTAGGAGGAGTTTGCTGTCTTGTACATGACAACTGGCTGAGTTCAAGCCATCAACTTTTAGGAAGGTTGTGGTGTTAAACTAAAAGTTGGCGCTTTTTTTTTTTAGGCAATAGTCTCTGATCTTCAGTAGGTACATGGTCTTCCAAATCAATATGGTTTTGCAAATTATCAATAGCTGAAGGAGCGATATGAAGAGAACTTCTAACACTGGGCAGCACTTGGAGCAGGAAGGCTTGAGATGAGAGAGACTTGAGGCAAAACTTGAGGTGAGAACGGTTTGTGATGGGCAAGGCTTGTGGTAGCAAGATCCTGGTGAGACTGAGACCCTGGTGATGGAGAGACTGGCATTGCTGTGGAGAAACTGTTGCAAGGTGTGACCTGAATTTCTTGCATTTGTACTGGCCACAGTTGGATTTTGCTGTTCTGGCCTTTGATGTGGGAAGGAAAAAATGTTTATTGAATTGGACTCTGAGCCTGGAGTAATGGAGGAGGTCAGTGTGGTAAAGTAAGTCTCCCTCAGCCATATAGACTTACTAAGAATTTATTTTTACCTTAAAAAGAAACAGAAGTCAATGTATATGAACTTTGTAAGTAAACCAATATAAAATTAAAAATTTATTAAAAAATAGGGGTGAGGATTGGCTGGGGGTCATTAATCATGGAGGAGTTGCACAATTTGATAGGTGGGGGTGAGGGAAAGGGGAAGGAACTGTATTTGCACAATGTATTTGAATTTTTCAAACAACGTATTTGAATTCTTCTAAGATGTATAGCACTGGTCTGTCCACTTGCTGAATAGAGGTAACTCGTGATTGCTGTGATGCTGAACACAGTGACACTGATATGTCAAATGCTATAATGGTTACCCACAGTGAACAGTGTTTGGTGGAGCTCCCAGATTAAAACAAGCTCGGAAGCAGGAGTAGCATCCACTTCCATAATAGCTTGCCTCCCGAAACCCTATGAACCTAGAGAAAGGATGAAAGTCACACACAAGTGTTGAAGTCTTTCATTTATAGGGTCACTATGAGTCACCTACGACTTGATGGCACTTAACAACAACAATAACATTTGTTGCTACAATGCTCAAGGGGTTTCAGGGGGTTTTCCAGTTTAAGATTGGTCCAGACTAAGATTTAATTGAACGGTATAAGGATTTACATTAGAAAATCAATCAAATAAAACAATAAGGACTACAATAGTTTAATCTGAGACAGAATGTGGAAATAGCACAGAATTCGTTCCATTGTGCATGAGGCCAGAGGAGTTCGGGATTGACAGCACGGCAACGAGCAGTAACATGGCTTATCCATTCCACAGTACAGCCTCCCAATCTGTTTAGCATCATATACAAGGGCCTGATTAGACATGCTCTCATTTTCTATTTGTACCAAGCACATCTTTATTCTGTTTTCCTATTTTCATTTTCTATCTTCTCTACAGTCTGGCAACTGTTCTCATTAAGCTGACTTCTAATTTAGCTACCTCCGATTTAGATATGTAATTAAAAATACATAGAAATTGTTTTGCAGAAATATTTTAATAATATTTAAAGTATTGGCCAGTGAATATTCTTTTTTGTCCCTTAATTTTACAAAAATGTATATTTAATGTGCTGTGGTATGTAGAATTCTACATTGTAATAAATCTTTTTATTAGGTTTTCAAATTGCTACATAATGTTTTCTCCAAGTGTATACATTTGACATATCCCTTTCACCAAATATGGGCATCGTTACAGTGTGATTAAAGTATAATATTTATTAGAGCCCAAACAGATAGAGAAAACAGTGATCTTTCTTCATCAAATAAGTCACAGATGGAAATAAACTTCAGGATACTTTACAGCTCCCTCCTATTAAATCAAAATGTGAGAAGGGAAAGTCTGATGACAAAGAAAAGAGTACTTTCGATAATCCAGCAAGAGTTTTGCACATATGTATATATTTTTTAAATTTTTATTTTTATGTGTGTCCCATCAAATCAGATCTGACTGGTACAGGAGGCGATTGTTCCTCCTTCTTCAACAGAGCATCTGGTGGATTTGAACCGTGGACTTCAGGGATTGCAGTGCAGCTTCTTGCCAGTAGGCCACCAGAGCTTGCCAACATAGGTATATTTTGGAGAGTGTACCAGACAGATTTCAAAGAGACTCTTATAATTCCCACCTTCTAATATTCATGCCTTTTGGTAAACATTTCTTAATTTCGCTGTTGTGAGGTGCCATCAAGATGATTAAGACTCTCAGCGACCCTATGATCAACTGAATGGAACCTTGACCTCCCCTACAGTGCCCATGATCTCTGCTATGCCCGAGACCTTTGTTGCACTCATTGTCAACCCGTCCCATTAAATATGTTCTTCTCTTTTGCTGACTTTCCCTTTCCAGCATGATGTCTTTTTTTCCAAAGACTGGCCACTCTTGACAAAAATGTAATGTGAAATGAAATGGTATAACATTTTATCACTCTTGCTTTTTGAGTGTGGGCAAATCGTGATGTATTCTAACCAACAGAAAATGTCACAGCTAAGAGGATAAGGCTCTCTTGGTTATGTTTCAATACATGACTCCGTCCTTTTGATAAACTCACTCTAGATTATTTCACATGGGTGATTTTGTAAGCTTTACCCTTTGTGGTTAATTTCTAGTTTTATGGCATTGTGCTTTGAGAAGATACTTTGTATTATTTTAGTGATAATGAATTTGTTGAAGCTTGCTTTATGTCCTAATATGTGATGAATTCTGGAAACTATACCATGTGCACTTGAGAAAAAACTGAATTAAGTTTTAGTTGGGTGCAGTACCCTGAATACATTCACAAGTTGATCGGGCAATTTGTATAGTTTAGCCCTGTATCTTTGTTGTATTTCTTGTGAGTTGCCCTATTCTTTGGTGATATGCTGTCTTGTTTTTTGGGTTTTTTTTTAACTTTTTTAATTTATTGGGTTACAGAATATTTTATAATTTTTTTTTCCTTTCAATGTGTTTGCTTATTGCTATAAATTGATTTCTAATTACTGCTTTGCCTGTTTCCTCTGAGGTTTTAGTAAATTGTGTTTTGCTTTCAGACTTAGAATATTTTGGTATATTTTTAAGAGGAACCAGTCCTTGGAAAGAGACATCAAGACAGGAGAGGTAGAAGGTCAACAAAGGGAAAAAAATCTCTCAATAAGTTGAAATGACAAACTGACTATCACAATGGGCTTGTACTTAGCAGAGAGCATGAGTATAGTCCAGGATAGAATAAAGTTCAGAACTGATATGTACTTAACTCAGTGGCATCTAACAAGAACAAAAACAGTCAACTAGAACAGATGAATATTGCTAGTGTAAAGTAAATATATGGTATATGGTAGGAAAAGAAAATTAGATTTTGTTTAAAGAAATAAAGGGTAATATGTTTTTATACAATGATACATTTATGTTATTTTCTATCTAAATGTACATATTCAGAAATCATGAAATCTGTTGAAAATATTGTTACAAAAGTTAAATCTACTAACTATTGAAGGGAATATATGTAATTTATGTTGTTGTTGTTGTTATGTGCCGTCGAGTCGCCTGCGACTCATAGCGACCCTATGTACAACAGCCCTAAACTCTGCTCTGTCCTGTGCCAATCGCACTGCCTCTGACACTCCCATCCCAATTATCCCAGTCACTGAATCAATCCACCTCATAGAGGGTCTTCCTCTCCTGCGCTGTCCCTCCACCCTCCCAAGCATGATGTCTCTCTCTAAGGATCGGTCTCTCCTCACAACATGTCCAAAGTAAGTTAGACGGAGCCTCAGAATCCTTGCCTCCAAGGAGCCACTACATTTATACTATAAATGTAATTTATAGTATAACAAAAATTTCACTTGCTTTTTCTAAGTTCCCTGGGTTTTTTTTGGAATGTGAGTTAGTTACATATATGTATGTATCAGGAAACCACTTTTAAAATTTTTTTTTTATTAATGTTAATGAAAGTTTACAGAGAGTTAGGGTTTCCAGTCATTCATTGTTGCACTTTTCTCCCTGCTACCCCTGCCCCCAATTCACTTTTCTCCTTGATGAGCAAAAGAAAAACTCTTTCAGATTTGAAATTATTAAAATCTGTTTTAAAAACATGTATACAGGCTATATCAAAATAGGGAATTAGTATTCACAGCATATTACATTTGTTAAAACATTTAAATATAAATATGTAAATGACATTTTGTACTCCATAGGATGCTAGTGTCAAGGGTAAATAGTAAATGTTGTGGAACTTGAATCCAGATGTTAAATTTCATTTGACAAGTAGTTTTGATGGTTTTCTTCATGACCAGTGGATTTCAATTGGGTTATGCAGAACAACATTAAATGGACTCACATCAATAATTAATATCTAAAAGAAAAGCAAGCAATAAAAAGTTATTCATTTAATCATGATCAAACTTTTAAATGAAAATGATCTGTGTAATGGGAGCGCTGGTGCTTTAGTGGTAAGGAGTTGCATTACCATCCCAAAGGAACGTGGTCTGAGTTTAGAAACTACTCTACTGAGGAAGATGAACGATCTGCTGTCAGATTTAAAAATTATTATCCACTGGAAAATCAACTATGAGTCAGCTTTGACTGAACAGCACAGCAATAAACACATCTCCTAAACCAATATATCTACAATAAACCTTGGTATCTTATTCCTGTTTATGAATTTTGACTCCCAAAAGTTAATACAAAATTATATGCATGCAAGGACATACTATTTTTTTGTGTGTGTGTTTCACTTTCTTTTTCATCATGGATATGTATTTTATAAATTAAAGGGGTAGGAATACTGCACCAAGCAAGGGGATGAGTATCATTTTCTGAAGGCTTGTGTATGTATCATATTTTGGTAATTTTTGCAATATGTGAACATTTTATTATATTATTACACATTCAGATTATAGTATAATTGTAAACATAACTTTTAAATGCACTGGGAAATATAAAACTCGGTGACTCACTTTATTAAGATATTTATTATGATGGTCTCAAACAACTCTAATAACTCTGAGGTATGCCTTTAATAATCTCATTGAAGCAACTTACTGATAATGACACTAAATCTCAGAGATATGAAATTATTATTATTATTAAGTTCCATGAACATTTACAGAGATTGTGGATTTCCATTCATTCATTCATTGTTGCACTTTTCTCCCCGCCCCCCCTCCTAGTTCGCTCTTCTTTAAAAGCAAAAGAAAAACTCCTTCATTGGTACACAATCCCCCTGCACCACCCCCACCCCCACCCCGAGTATACTCCACTCTGCAACCCTCACTCCAAACTCTTACGATAATCATAATGCCTTAAAATATTACTTTTAAACTGTTCTCTCCCTCATCGGCTTCAATGCAGTATACATAATTTATCCAGTTTTTCTCAGATTTACCCCCACCCTGATGTCAGCCTCATTCTACAACAATGAAATTGAGATTATGAACTTGTTGTCTTGATTTAATATTATTTTACTCTTTCAAAGTAATTTTCTGGAAAAGTTTTTTTTTTATTTAGAGTTCTTTTATTATCTATGCTTTGTAACAAAGTTTATCCAGCATGCAATTCAAATTTAGAAATAGAATTCTTCTTCTTAATCAATCTTAAAGTTATTTGTTTAAAGTCTTGAATTTATTGCCAATAGTTTAAATTCTATAGGGGCTACTTTGTTTCACTGGGATAACCTCAAGCAGATGACTTGAGGCATAGTTGTGAATACTATCAATGAAATAGTAATTGAAAACACCCATTTTCTATAATCTCTGGATATGATGGTTTCACAAAACTATCTTTGGTTGTTTTTTTTTTTTTCTCTAATACATCCAAATATCTTTCATTAGAAATTTTGGATTTATAACAAAATAAAGGTAAACAACCCAATTGTAAAATATGAACAGACTTCACCAAAGAAAACAGTCAGATGGTGAACAAACACATGCGCAAATGTTCAAAATCCCTGGTACTAAGAGAGATGCAAATCGAAACAACTATGAGAGAGCACCCTTATTCACTATTGGTGGGAATGTAAAATGGTGCAACCACTAATTTTCTTTCTTTTTAACAACACAACATAATCCATACTATACCATCAAAGTTCCATTTCATCTCATAATTTTTCCCCCCACAAATTCAAATAGCATGTCTTTGCAGGGGTAGGTAGAAAATTAGGTTAAAATTAGGTATTAAAATCAGATTAGTTAGGATTAGAACCAATGCTACAAAAGAGGTAAAAGTTTCATCAGAGCCATGAGGCAGATATCAACATACAAAGAAATAGTATATTTTGCACATGAGTGATGTCAGAAGAAGTGGGCACTTTGACCATATGAATGAACAACATCAGAGCTCATCTCATATTTTTTATCTGATTAAATACTTGATAGAGGTAAAATAAAATGTGTTCTGATTTGATTGACAACAGAAACAACTCACTATCTGCATGTTAGAATAACTCATAACTAATTTTCAGTGTCTTTTTCAAGGCTGCAAATCATAAAGGAAGAGATTATACATCATTCTCCCAGAAAATAATTTGATGAATTCCAACTGGAAGAGTATGTCCTTTGGGTTAGCCAGGCAACTCACTACAGGCTGTATCACCAGAAGTCCCTCAATTTTATTGATAATTATTGACCATTTTTGTGTGGCAAAAAGCTCTGGTGGTGTAATATGTATGTTGTGCTAAGAAGTACAAGGTCTTAAATCTTTAGCAGTTCACACCCACCCTCAAGGGGTCTGCAAGGGAAAGCTGGGGAGTTTCTTCTCCAAAAAGTTGAAAACCGATAGATGATCACTATGAGTTGAAATTGACACAATGACAATGATTTTATTTATATTTAGGAAATTATTTTCCTGTCACTGGGACTCAATTTCCAGGCTTTGACATACCACCAGTAGATTAAATCAATAGACTCATTCTTTGAGATTTTATGTCAATAAAATTTTATGAAGAAGAACAATAGATTTGTGGCAATAAATTGTCACCTTTTTGTTTTATCAAAGGACATTAAAAGTATTACATTAATTTCGCAACTTTGTTTGATTTGAATGAAATAGTCTGTATAAATCTAATCTTATTAAGTCTTTGAGATCTTAAATTTGAGCCAAGAGTGTTTCCTCTCGAAACTAAACAGAAATAACTGATTGTTTTGCAAATGTTAAATTTTTCTCTAACATGATTGCTTGTTTAATAATTGTAAACCATCTTTACTCAGCTTTAAAAATAAATGGTTGTGGACAAACTCAAATGGTATTTGCAGTGCAGAGAGACACCTCAGCCTGAATCAGTAATTTACAACAGCTGTTTACCAGAAGATAAGTTATTTGAAATTCACTTTTGTAAAATGTAGATTTACAGAGTCAAGACTGAGAGGAACTTAAGGAATTGTTTAACAGGCATATTCATGTTTAATCAGAGAGCAAAACTCAAACAACTTCCTACCATTAAGTTGGTTCCAACTCATACTAATCTCCACAGAGTTTCAGGGCTATAGGAGATTGTCTATCTTTATTCTTCAGAGTAGCTGGTGGATTTGAATCTTCAGAGATGAACAGTCTTTGAGTTAGCAGTAAAACTACTGTGAAATATGCCACCAGCAAAATTCATCCGTTTAAAATCAAAAGCTAATTGCTGTTGTAGAATGGGACTGACATTAGGGTTGGGATAAGACTGAGAAAAACTGGATAAATTATGTATACTGCATTGGCACAGATGAGGGAGAGAATAATTTAAAAGCTATATATGATAGGGCATTATGGTTATCACAAGAGTCCAGAATTAAGGTTGCATAGTGTACTCTGGTCGGTGGGAGGAGTGCAGGGGGATTGTACACCAAAGAAAGAATTTTTCTTTTACTTTTCAAAGAGAGGAGTGAACTGGGGAGGGCGGGGAGGGCTGGGGAGGGAGAAAAGTGCAACAATGAATGGAAATCCAAAATCTTTGTAAATGTTAATTAAAATTAATAAAATAAAATATTTTTTTTAAAAAGCTGCTTGCTGGAAACAATCAACCTTACCACAACAATTGATTGATTTTTTTAGTGTTCTGTATAATATCCCTTAACGTACCTTTACTGTATGAATCTCAAGACAAAAACGAAAAACCTCCAAAAAACAGCAAAACAACAACCTTCTTTTAATTCAACTGACTCATAGTATTTAGAGCTTTCAAGACTATTCACTTTTGCAGAATCAGACGAGAAGATCTTTTCTCCTGGAGAATGACTTGGGAGTTTGAACCTCTGGCCCATCAATTAGCAGCCAAAATGCTTTAATCTCTGTGCTACTTGAGGTCCTTTTTAATTTTGCAAGGATATTTAAGTATGTTTTAGTAAAGACAAAAAATGGTTAAATGTGGGAAATTTATTTTTTGACAAATTCTTTCTGTAATATTCTATATGTTACAACTGTTATAATAGGTAGTATTTAGAAAATTAATAGAATTTTAATTTTGTCAGGATATCATAAAGTAGATATCATTGGGTTAAATTCTATGATGAAAGCTCAATAAATTAGAAATCACAGTTAACTCATAATTACATTTCTTTAGGCCTGAAATATATGAGCTCATGTTTCTTTGTATATAACTTACCTCATTCGCTGGTGTATTTTCGATTATTAAAGGTGTATATGTATTTCCTTTATAATTGAGAGTAACGCTATTGACAGGACTATTTCCTTTCCCCCATATTTTGACTGTTCCAAGCTTCATTTCATTTTCATTTACATAGCCACTTTTCAATATAGTGCTTGTCAAGGTGGTCTATAAAGATAGGAGAAATAAAGAAGAAATCTGTATTATTCTTTTTGAAAATTGAGTCATTTCAAAAACTAGATAAACAAAAAAGATATTAACAGTAAAGTGTTAATTAATATTCTTGAAGTGTTTATACAGTAAACATATAATACAATCTGAAATATTCTTTCACAGTGGCATATGAATTATGTGAATACACACCTTGTTAAGATTAAATTGTGCCATGAAATACATATCTTTTTCATAGGTACCTGTGGAAGAAAAATAAATAGTATTTTTTTCAAACAAATAGTTAATAAAAGTATTCTGCTTTTTTTCTTGATACAAATGACACTAAATACCATAAACGCATATCCAATACACATATAAACTAATATTTCCCTAAAAGTGTTTCATTTTCTCCAAATACAGTACAAATAGATCCCATAAAATAAGGAAAAGTCACCAGAGAGGGTTCTATAAAGAGGAGGAATGTTATTGAATGTGTCTGTTGGGGAGAAAAGTCCTCTAAATCAATGACATGTTTAAAATTTTGATATGTATACCCATGTATATTGTTGTGTTGTTTAAAATAGCAAAGATATGGAAATAGCTAAAGTGCTCATCAAGAAATGAATGGATAGAGAAACTGCGGGGCATGCACACAATGGAATATTATGCAGCATTTAAAAACAATGAATGGGGGTGGGGGGAGATTGTATACCAAAGAAGGAATTTTTCTTTTGCTTTTCAAAGAGAGGAGTAAAGTGGGGGGAGGGGGGATGCTAGGCAGGGAGAAAAGTGCAACAATGAATGAATGAATGGAAATCCAAAATCTCTGTAAATATTCATTAAAATTAATAAAATAAAGTTTAAAAAATAAAACAGCTTGTAAAACACTACACAACGGGGGGAACTTGGAAGACATTATAATGAGTGAAATACCTCAGTCACTAAAAGATAAATACTACATAGCAAGCACCACTGTTAATAAATAGAACTGACAATGGAGGGAAAGAATTGTTGTTTTGTTGTTGTTATGTGTCACCAACTCACCTGGGACTCGTAGCGACCCTATGTACAACAGCTCTAAACCCTGCTCTATCCCTTGTCAATCTTATTGTCTCTGACAAATCTATCCTCATCCCCAATTTATCTTATTGAGGGTCTTCCTATCCTGTGCTGTCCCTCCACCCTCCCAAACATGACATCTCTCCTAGGACTGATCCTGCCTTGCTACATGTCCAAAGAATATTAGATTCAAATATATTCAAATACATCAGCACATTCAAAGCTTCAGAATCCTTGACTCCTAGAAGCTGCCTGGCTTCACTCTCTCCAGGATTAACTTGTTTGTTCTCCTAGCAGTCCATAGTATACTCAATACTCTTCTCCAACACCACAGTTTAGAGACATCAACTCTCCTTCCATCATCCCTAGTCGTTGTCCAGATCTCTGGTACAAAGCAAATAGTAATTGCAAAGATTATGCCCTGTATCAGGCAAACCTCAGTCTCTAGACTGACATTGTTGCTTTTCAGTACTTTGGAGAGGTCTCTGACAGCAGACTTTCCCAGTGCAATTTGTCTGTTAATTTCCTGCCTGCTGGTACCAAGAGTGTTACTGTAGAGCCAAGCAAATTGAAGCTGTCAACAATCTCACTCTCTTCATTATCTATCATGATGCTGTCAATCAGCCTAGTTGTGAGAATCTCTGTTTTCTTGACGTAGAGCTTCAATCCATATTGAAAGCTGCTGTCCTTGGCCTTCTGCAGCAAGCGGTTTGGGTCCTTCTCAGTTTCAGCAAGCAGGGTTGTGTCATATGCATAACGCAGGTTGTTGATAAGTTTACCTCCAATCCTGATTCCACACTTCTCTTCATAGAGCCCACCCTCCTAGGATAATCTGTTTTGCATATAGATTGAAAATATATGGAGATAGTACACATCCATGATGCACATCCTTCCCAGTTTTGAACCATGCAGTGTTTCCTTGCTCTATTCCAATGACTGCCTCCTGGTCCAAGTATAGGTTTCACATAAACACAATCAAGTGAAAGAGTAGATAGATGATGAATAATGTATTGGAAGAGATGATAAGAAGAACTGTCTGAAAGGAACGTATGATTAGGTATTATATGTATGACAACATAGAAAGAGAAGGACATTGCAAAGTGGACTGAAGTACGGGGAAGGGAAAGGTGCTACAATGAATGAATGAAAACCCAACCTTTCTGTAAACTGCCATCAAAATCAAGATTAAAAAAAATTTACCACAACAAATAAACATTGGTTATGTAGACTACAGGTCTGGGAAGGCATAAGGGGGTGAAAGAACAGAGTGGTCAACACTTCCTTATTGCCTTAACGACTGACATAAAGAAATATTTCTAGAAGAAAGGAGAAATGACAGCAAATTGTACTTTTATCATTTGACCAAAAAATACTCTCCTGTTAAAGATTGTTACCAATCTGCTGAAATAAACTCGAAGAAAGTATAGCCAGAACATTCCTTAAAAGTCAAGATGGCAGGATTTTATTTCATATACTTTGAGCATTTTACCAAGAATTTAAAGGGGCCAAAAGATTTTTCCCCCCAAAAGTATGTAATACTTTTATTTAAAACTTTCTATGCTTGGCAGGGTGGAGGGACAGAGCAGTAGCGGAAGACCCTCTATGAGGAGGATTGATTCAGTGACTGGGGAAATCGGAATGGGTGTGTCAGAGACAGTGTGATTGGCACAGCACAGAGCAGAGTTTAGGGCTGTTGTACATAGGGTCGCTATGAGTTGTAAGTGACTCGATGGCACATAACAACAAACAACAATGTAGCCTTTCAAGTTGTACAAACCATCAAGCTACTATAACACAGTAAGCCAACTAGAATCGTTTTTTGAGATGACTGCAACTGGGTGTGCTGGTTTTCATTTACATACATTGTGTATCATACATGCCACCATCCACATTGTGTTTCATACAATCGTTCTTATACACTGTTTTACAAAATTTATCACCATTGATGTGAGCCTACCATTACTCCACCTTTTCAGGTCCCCACTTGGTCTTTCCTAATTCCTTCACCCCCTTCCTCTGGCCTCCAAACTCTGTGACCTCATGATTCCCCCCTCAGCTCCCTCCACCTTTCTCTTCCCCCTTTGGACTGTTGTGCACTTTTTATTAGTAAATTTTCCATTTTTACAATAATGGTCTTATGCAGTATTTATCATTACGAGACTGAGGTGACTCAATATAAAATGATCTCAAGCTTCTCTCATAATATAAGGTATTTTTTGGAATTCATTGCTCCTGAATGATAATGGAATCCTATGCAGTACTCAGGAGCAATGATTTCAGAAGATGTATTTTAAACCAACTATCCCTAGTGAGTCTGAGACTGATGGCTAGTAGAGTCCTGTTTATAGAAGTTTAATCTGGTCCGGAGGAGCAACTGTGGAGGTAGTAAATATATTTCTACACTTTAGGGTTTCTTTTCCTGTTATTCTGAATTACAAAAATTTGATACTATCCATAAGGACTATATTTGTGCTTGAATTCTAAACAATATTTGTTTTAAAGACCTCTCTTATGCCTCAATGTGTGTACTTACTGCTGTTGTTCAACTCTTTGGTCTTACACAAACTGAATGTTTATCATGCAGACCGTATAATGGCAGTGCATAATCCCTGTGTACACACGTTTCTTAGATATCCAGGCATTTTATTATGAAGATTAACTATATCCAGTATAAGAAGTCTGTTAAATGTTTACAAAACTATTATTTAAGTTGATTCATTTAGTTAGAAAATTAGCTTTCAATAATATCTGTTGATTCTTATTCCTCTTGTAAAACAAGACTATAAATGAAATGTGAGAATAAATGTGCTCTCAATTATGTTGAACAACAAAATTAAAGTCTTACCTATAGTATCGCCATCATCCCAAAACAGACTTCCCTGTGCCATTTGATTATCATCCGCAGCGACAATGAGTTCCATGAAATTTTGTCGACTGTAAGAAAGGAATATATGGTTTTATTCACATTTGCAAAATAGTATCTTATCCATTGATTATATGGCACCCAAATACATATAGATACATAACTACATTTAAAAAGCTCACAAATTCACCACTAACTACAGTAAGGAAAGAGATTGCAAAGAATTTTAGGAAAGGTAAATAAGTTATTTTACTTTTGAATAAGTTAATAGGAATGACATGTACTACAAAATATTTTATACTTAATGGAAGATACTGAATACATATTTTGATATCAAGAATTTGTCAACATTGCAATCCAGAAGCTGTCTTATTTATAGTAATTAAATCTGCTTAAAGTCTCTGTATATAGGCGAGCTCTGGTGCCCTAGTGGCAAGAAGCTGCACTGCAATCTGAGAGGTACACGATTCGAATCCAACAGATGCTCTGCTGGAGAAAGAGGAACAATCTCCTCCTGTATCAGTCAGATCTGATTTGATGGTACACACATTTAAAAAAGTAATGAAATAAAATAAAAAAATTTTTTTAAAAGAAGGCTATGTATATACTTATTTGTTGTTTGGGCAATCCTCTCACTGACTGTTAAATAATAAACTATTGTCAGAACATAGTTTCTCTCTCATAACAAACTTCTCATATCTCCATGTATAAATTAATAAGTGTGTTAATGAGAGTGAACAGAATGAACAGAGAAATTCTAAATATTATCTTAAGAATGGACAATGCTTCCCAACCTTGTGTCTCAGTCAGTCCACCTTTGAACAAAGTACCTGCTTCCATGATCCTTGCACAGTTTATAGAAAGCAATTTAGATAGATTCAAACTAAGGAAGCATTTCACAAACTACATTTAGCTATACAGAACTCCAGTCAGATACACTGAAGGATAAGTTCCCATCGGTGTCTCCTAAAACATTTAGCAAAAGTAGGATAAAAATGACTACATAATTTTGTGTTTTCCAGATTAAACAAAATATATACCTTGTCATGTGTATTTAT